TGCTAAGCACCGTTCGCACATGCCTCAAAAAGATGTAAGTCGACTTCCCTAAAGATGATTTTATTGATTTAATTCACACCACGAAATGAAATTTGACGGAAAACATTCAAGTAAAAAGTACTGTATATGCTATGGTATCTCATTGTTCCATAACCAGCAAGGTCTGCAGCTAATGTTTCACTATTAATCTACTACTTATATTCAAAGCGAGAGGGCGTTTCCTACAGGGATTTCGTCGTTGAAACCCTCAGGATATTTTCGTAATTTCACAATTGTTTTCAGCTTTCTTTTTTTGGTGTGTTTTCAGCTTTGACATTTGTCAACAATCTCATGCATAGTTAAAGATCATCACTTCTCCTCCACGTCCAGTCTCCTCCATTAATCCTCATCTATTCCCAATAATATAATTGAACAACGAAACACCAAATAATTCATTTTATCACCCAACAGTGTATCTATTGCTTTCATTTTATCACCCAAAAGTTCAGATTGAATTCTTCAATACATATTTTCATTAAATAAAAATATTTGCTCAACATTTTTGTATGTCCACAATATTATTAATAATTTTTAACAACTTTATGCATAGGAAAGGAAATATTAATTATTGTATTACCGAATACGAAAGGATAAAATCATTACTTTTATTTTATTACATTACCAAATAATGTCGATCGTCTAGATAACAATTCTTTTTATTAGAAGCAATTTCCAGTTATTATGATGAATACTCCATACTTAATCATCTTTCAAAATATCAATGCTCATTGTTATCTTTTTTTTAAAAAAAAAAAACTACATATATATATTGCCGATGGTAGGGATGTGCACGGTCTGGGTGGTCCGATTTTTGGCCAAAATCATAAATCAAACCGTTAGAATGGTTTGAAAAATTTTGAAACCGAAACCAAACCACTAGGGAGTTAAAAACCGAACCAAACCAATCCGTCATCAACGGTCCGATTTCTACAGTTTTATGGTTTTAGTTTCACTTTGGATTTTTATTTTATTTTATTTTTGCCAAAACTTGGAGTTGTTTCTTTTGGGCAAAAATAGAGTTTTTTTTAGTTCCAACAAAAATAATATAAATTTATACTACTAATTATAATTTAACACTACACAAATTTCTAATTAAAATTAAACAACATCCCAGATGTTAACCAAAAAGATAAAAATGAAAAATGAAACGTCAAATTCAATAAAAAAAAAATCCTTAAAATAAAACAAAACAAAAAGGGACAAAAAAAGTAAACAAAAAAGTGGACAATGAGATTCGAACCCGGGACTTGAACTAGACATGAAGAAATGGTAAGGAGTTAAACAACTAATCCGCATTAAACATTTGAATATTCATGCACATTTTAAAATATATATAATTAATATATATAATAATTTAAACGGTCCAGTTTTGTTTGAATGACGGTTTCGGGATCCAAATCGTAAACCAGACTGTACTTTCTGGTTTCCAAAATTTGAGTCCGCTGATTTCAAAATAAAATTAGAAAACCGAATCAAAAACCAAACTGCGATTTGAATTGACCGGTTTGACCCAACTCATGCATATCCCTAGCCGATGGTACGTGTGGGCAGAAGAAAACTAGTATTTATATGCACACAACACAGATCCTTTTCACCACATATCCCAACAGGAGGATTCCCTTCTTTAATTTTCCCAACAGCCCTTTTACTTTGACACCGTCAAGAAATGATGGTACACGTTGAGTTATTAGCCACACAAACATCCACACAAACAGCCCTTTTAATATCCACACAAACATTGTTCAGTTATTAGCCAATGTTGTAACTTTTCATTAGGAACAATTACACATGAGCTATATTATTTAAACAATCACACACGAACTTCTAAGACGCCAAGTGATCTCACTTTTATATTCAACAATGCAACTCGTTATACCTCAAAAATGTATTTGTTGTTCATTTTTTGTTTAAACTATATTATAAATGAAATCTCAAGTTGCACAATAATTTTATAACAAAGAGAATAAGATAAAACAAAATATAGAAACACCGAGAAGAATTACTGTATGACCACCCTCAATTAGTACTTAAACACATGAGTTTGCCTTAAGCTTCTTCTAAAAAGAATACTTAAAGACACTAGCTGAAAACTTATCGGTTGATTTTATATAAAGAATAGTCATCTTCAAAACAAAATAGCATGTTGCTTTGTGGGTCAAAAGTGTTAAAAGTTGTTAACATTAGTAAATTATTTTTTACTAAGACAAATCTCCTACTTTATTTTTCATCGTACTTATCAATCATCAAAATATTCATTACCGCTCACTTTCTTGAAATTCCGGAAAAAAAATTAAAATTACAATCGAACACAAATTCGATCCATCCAATACACCGAAATCCTTAATGAATCGGGCAAACCACCCTGAACTTTTATTGATCCCGACAATTGCACTGCCGGGATGAAACTCTTGAAAGAAAGATTGTTCTCGACTTTATTATCATATATTATAATTGAGGAATATGAGATTATTTTTGGTTTTTTACATGTATTTTTATGTTTTGTTTTAGTTTTCGGTTTCTTTTTCTTCTTAAATCGAAATTATTGTATCTTTTAATTTAATCTTTCATATTTTCTCTTTTCATATTATTTTTTCAATATTTATTGTGATCTTTTGTTACAGTTACTAAATTTTCATTTCATTTCATTTTTTATTATTTACTATATGTGGTGTACATTTTATCTTCATTCATATTCTGTTTTTTACTATCTTGTTAAATTTAATATCTATTTGTCTTTTATTCTTTAATATTGTTATACTTTTCATCTCCCCTTATCTCCTGTAACAACTTCTTCATGAATTTGGTGTCTTTTTGCTTACTTTTAGCAATATTCATTACAATTATTTATACTAAAACTATTTAAGCACCATAATTCTAATTCATTTCATATCCATTTGTCTTCTATTCTTTAATATCGTTATACTTTTCATCTCCCCATATCTCCTCCAACAACTTCTTCATCAATTTAATGTCCTTTTGTTTTCTTTTAGCATACATTACAATATTTTATACTAAAACTATCTAATCACCACATTTCTACTCATTTTCTATGTTTTTTCTTCTCTCTTCTCCTCTGATTAAAGTATTTATCTCTTGTCCTGATTTTCTCCTTTTTGTGCTCTTCTTGTGCACATTCTTTTAATTTTTTTTAACAATTTAATTGAGCGTTCAAGTTCAACTCGAACAAAAGTAGAGATGCTCATGTTTGGCTAATTAGATAACATAAAGTTGAGTTGCGAGATCCAGAAGCAGTGAATGAACATTATAATAGGAAAATTTTAAATTTCTTTTTCAAATATGGATGTCTTTTCGATTTCATGTAACATTTGAAGTGTTTTATACTATTCGTAAACAATAGTTTTTAATCCTTTTTAACTAAACACTTTAAATTATGACTCTCTCTTACATAAATATTTCAAGTCATTGAATTTATTGTTGTAAATTTCAAATTAAGTTTATGTGTGAAAAAAATTTAAACACCTCTCTTAGTTTCATTTTAATAATCCATACTATTGTAACAAAAAGGATAGCAAAAATAAGACAAATGGAGCATTCTTTTGTTATTTATCTCTTTAAATTTAAATATGTCATAATTACATATTTTAAATTAATATATATTATCATAGTCACTAGTGGCGGAGCAAAAATTTGGACTTAAGGGGTGCGAAATAAAATCAACAAAATAAGTGTTTTAAAGACTACAATATATATTTTAGTATTAAAAAATTACTTAATATTTTTTCCTCATTCAAGATCATCTATAACGAACTAATTAGTTTCACTTTATTAATATTTCAAAATTTCGTTACACTTAAAATTTATTTTGTCGTTGTGTGGTTTAATATTTTTTTTAATATATTTTTGTACGTTGGTAACTCAAGGAGAGCTAGTAATCCACATTTTTTAAAACAAATAAATGCCATAAAGATTTGTGCTAAAAATAAGCAGGTATTTTCAACCATAGAAATCTTCACAGTCTTAGTAAAGAAATACTTATTCGAAAACATATTTAGTAGTCAATAGAGCGAAAAAAGAAAACGTAAATTGGACATTTCTTTTGAAAAATAAAAATTTGAACTTGTCATTCTGCTATATTAAAAAAATAATAAAACTAGCATGAACTTAAATAAAATTGTCCGTCATTGTATGAGCAAACATGACAAATAATCTTAAGTTGATAAATTGTATTATTTCACCTTTTATTGTATTATTTTTTTAAAGCTAATTCAGAATACACTTCTGGACTTTTACTTTTCAATTTAACATTTGGTCCTTTACTTAAATCTCAAATATATATTATTGTAATTACTGTAGGCCTTAAATAATCATTGTTGTCAACGGATGTTAGTACATTGTTATCTTTTAGAAAAAATAAAAATTAATTAAAAAATTAAAAAATTGTGTCATTTGAGATATCATTAATTAATAGATTTGCATCATGTACTATGAGATTGTTTCAGTTTCTTGTAAAAATTAAATGAAAATTTTATAATAATTTCTGAACGCAGTGTGAAATGAATCATTTTTTTTTTCTTGATGTATTCTTAAGAAAAATAAAAAAACGGAGGCTACATTGTCTTATATTACAACTCGCGCGAAGTGCATTTGATTCATCTAGCAATTTGGCAAATTCACGACAAAGGGGGAAAAAAAACATTAAATCGGACGGGAGATTTTGCTATTAATTAGCACTGAATGAAATAATCAAATAGTTGCTTGATTCGTACTCCGAGTGCGTGAATTTCAATCCGAGCCAAATCCGGCTTGTGTATGCGTGTGTGATTCAACGCTAGGAGTGTGTTAAAAGTGTGTTTGATTAAATATGGAAAGTTTGATTGTGTAAGTTTTTCGTAAACGAGTGTGCCACTGTGTGACTGTGTGTAATTTCGTTAGGTTTAATTTAGGGGTTACAGTGTGTAACTTTTAGAGTGTGTGAGTGTGTGATGCGTGGGAAATGACGTCGCGGAACTAAATTCCTAACTTTTTCGCTATTTAAAGGAGCGCTGATAACTTCACAAGTTCAAATCACCTGACCAGCTAGCTGAAGTATCGACTGAGATTAATCACATTATTTTTCTTCTTTCCTTTTTTGGTGAATTTTAAAGACAAATTTCAATGGCGGGCAACGGAACTTCGGTGATCAAATCTTCCATGGACGTTGATCTCGAAACTCAGAAGCTGGTGGAGAAGGTATCTATAAATAAGTCAGTATTTCTTATGTCTTACAATTCATTAATCTTTATCGAGTTCTTTTTATTTGGGAATTCTGATATATTCAATCCCCTCCTGTTCTTAGAGAGGTGGATGGAGAGAATTCCTCAAGTTTGTTGGACCTGGTTTTCTTGTTTCTTTAGCATATCTCGATCCCGGAAACTGTAAGTTTCCTTTAATTCCACCCCTTCGTCCAAAAAAAAATTAAAACAAAATTTAATTATGTCGACAGTTATTACTTCCTCCGTCCCAAAAAAATTGTCCATTTTGCATTTTCAGTTTTAGTACAATTTGAACTAGAAATGAAAATACAAACTGGACAATAATTTTAGGTAGGAGGGAGTAATAAAAAGTATCGTTGGCTGAATCATTTTCCTACACTGCAGTGCAAACTGATTTGCAAGCTGGAGCAAATTATGGATATGAGGTACTAATCCCAAACAAAAGTACTCCAACACGTAATTAGGGATTTCTGATTGGTTTAATTATGGAATGTTTCTTAATTATTTGTCACGATGGGAATGATATATAACATTATATATAGTAAGGTTTTGGAAAGACGTTAGCGAATGAATAATTTGGTAAATGCTAACTGTTTGGCCACAAAATGCAGCTTCTTTGGGTGATCCTTCTTGGGCTAGTGTTTGCTCTTATCATACAATCGTTGGCAGCAAATCTTGGTGTCTGCACAGGTAATTGGTTGAGACAACGTCAGAATTAATAACAAGTTTTGTGTATTCTCTAACTATTTTCTAGTCCTTTAATTTACTTGGCCAGATTTAAAATTAATTAGAATCAATTTGAAGATTAACGTTTTTTTTTTTCTTTTCGTCTTATTGAAGGGAGACATCTATCAGAGATATGCAGGACCGAGTACCCCAAAATTATCAATTATCCACTGTGGTTGTTAGCAGAAATTGCTGTCATTTCTGCAGATATACCAGAGGGTAATATTTATATTTTTTCTCCGTTCCCTTTATTCTAAATTTAGCCGAAACAAAGTGACACAAATACTCTCACTTCCAAAAACTATTTACATTAATCCCTTTTTTATATACAATCTTTGAAAGAGTTTTCCTTACAATGTATAAATCGAAAATGGAAAAAAAAAAATTACTATATTGTTTGAGGAATTATGAGGGAAATCTGATTATAAAAAAATAAAATAAAGCGCATTAATGCAAATCTGATGCATATACCACCTGAAAATGCCAATTCTATATCTTTCACCATTATACATTTAATGGCAATTTAAACCAATATTAATGGATTAATATTTTCCATTTCTGTGTGTAATTATTGAATTTTGGGCAAATACTCTCACTTCCAATAACTATTTAACTTAATTCCTTTTTTCCTACAATTTTTTCAACGAGTTTTGCTTACAATTTGAAACGAAAATGAAGAAAAGTTTACTATATTGTTTGAGGAATTATGAGGAAAATCTAACCAAAAATAACGTGCACTTAACGCAAATCTTGATACATATACCACCTGGAAAAAGCCAATTCGATATCTTTCACCATTACCCATTTATTGCAATTTAAACAAATACTAATGCATTTAATATTTTCCATATCTGTTTTGTAATTATTGATTTTTGGGCGTGGAATAATGTGTAACAGTGATAGGCACCGCTTTTGCTCTTAATTTGCTGTGCAACATTCCAGTTTGGGTAGGAGTTTTGTGCACCGGGGTTTCCACTCTCATCCTCATTGGTCTTCAAAGATTCGGGGTGAGTTCCTTATTTAGGCAGACATCATATATATAATCCGTTCGGATTAATAATGCTCAGTTAAATTTGTACTGTTTTTAGTCTAACAAATAAAAACGCATTAATATTACAGGTGAGGAAGCTAGAATTCTTGATTACATTTTTGGTATTTGTCATGGCGGGCTGTTTCTTCGGAGAGCTAACATACGTGAAGCCACCGGCAAAGGAGTTGTTGATGGGAATGTTTGTTCCTAAGCTTTCCGGAAATGGTGCTACTGGTGATGCCATTGCCTTGTTAGGTGCACTAATAATGCCGTAAGTTCTTTATTTAGAAAACCTTAAATCTTTGTATAATCGATCATGAAAGCCATTAATGATGATATATCCAATTATTTGATTCATTAACGGATTCGTTGTTTCATTTATTAACCCATTAATGATGATATCTCCATTTTTTTTTTTTGATTCATTACCAATTTATTTTTTTCAATTGCATGATGATATTGCCTCAATTGCTCTTTGTTCTTTTAATACAACTGCTTTTTTTTTTTTTTAAGAATCCACATTGTTTGTAGTTTAAAAGAAAATAAAACGGTTACAAACTTTTTTTTTTTTGTTTCTATCACAATTATTAATAACCATTTCTCCTATATTTTCATCAACAGGCATAACCTCTTCCTGCATTCAGCTCTTGTGCTCTCTCGAAAAGTTCCAAATTCAACACGAAGCATCAATGTAAGAAGAATCCAAAATTTATTCATGTAAATTAAGATGTATATATATACATATATCCTCTCTCTCTCTCAAACAAAATATATAATTCACTTTATTAAACTAAAAAACAGTACAACAAAGTGGATTATTTTTTAACTATAAAATTAATTGGATACTTGAAATAATTCAATTGAACACGGACTAATATCTTTAAAAAAAAAATAAAAAATAAACACAGATTAATGTATTTTAAAATTTGTTCCCTGAATTATTTTATTTTATTTTATTTTGCAGGATGCTTGTCGATACTTCTTGATTGAGAGTGGATTTGCACTGTTTGTAGCCTTCCTAATCAATGTGGCTGTTATAGCAGTATCTGGAACTGTTTGCTTAGAAAAGGATCTCTCACCAGAAGCAGTCCAAAACTGTAGTGATCTTACTCTTGATTCCTCCTCTTTCCTTCTCAAGGTAAACTAATTTTCTTAAGTAACATTTATCTCAAAAGGGTAACCAAACAAGGGATTATTTCGAATTAATTCTAATTCAATAATCTGTTACCGTTTTACGCAGAATGTGCTCGGTAAAACTAGCTCAACTTTATATGCAGTAGCATTATTAGCATCAGGGCAGAGCTCTGCAATTACGGGAACATATGCTGGACAACATATCATGCAGGTAATATAATTAAGCAATTTATAAATTGTTTTTTCCTTTTTTTTTTTTGGGACTGAGTTTCAATTGTAATTAGCTAAGTTTTGTAATTAAATTAATTATATGCTATAACCATGCTTACTAATCCTTTTTTTTAATTAATCTTGGAACTAAAAAAATAGGGATTCTTGGATCTTAAAATCAAAGTGTGGATCAGAAACATAATAACAAGGTGCATCGCCATCATCCCAAGCCTTATAGTAGCAGTCATTGCTGGACCTTCAGGAGCTGGTCAACTGATTTCTATAGCTTCAGTTAATTTCTTTTCACTTTCTTACATTTTTCAATCAAATTTTATTTTGATCAATTTTACTTTTTACTCAAATAGTACGTAATATTATTCAAATGTCTCACTGTTTTAATCCCTATTGCTCTTGCAGATGATTCTATCATTTGAAATACCATTTTCAGTGATTCCTTTACTTAAATTTAGCAGCAGCTCTGCCAAAATGGGAAAACACAAATCCTCCAAATCTGTGAGTAATTCTTTGCTATCATTTGCTTTGGTTCCCTTTTTTTTTTTTTTTTTTTTTTGCCCCCATAACTTTCATAACGTATAATTGAAGTATATATTTGAGTTTGCGTTAAAAATGAAAAAGGAAAAAAACTACTACCTCCGTCCCACAAAAATAGTTCACATTGAGTTTTTAAATTTATACTAAAAGTTGTACAAAACTCAAAACTCAATATTGACGATTTTTTTGGGACGGAAGAGTAATAAATAACTAGCCATCACATGGTATCTTATAAAACGAAATTTCTTTAATTAATTTAATCTATGTTCTGCAGATAATCGTGATTTCTTGGATCCTGGGGTTGGGAATCATGGGCATCAACGTTTATTACCTCATCACAAACTTTGTCCAGTGGTTGATTCACGATCACAGTTTAGCAAAGATTGGGAAGATCTTCATCGGCATTATAGTCTTCCCGTTGATGGCAGTTTACATATTTGTTGCTATATATCTTATGTTTCGTAAAGATAACGTTGTCATTCCTGAAAAAGCTTCATTAGATACAACCACCGATCAAGATTAATTGTACAAGGATGATCCACACGCATTTGCTCCTTCTGGATGTAATTTTTTAATACAATTAATATGATTTCCTTGAGTTTATCTTGTTTTTATTCTTTCTTATAGTGTATTTGATCATCTACTTCATTCACGATTATGACAAATTTTTCTCTCTCTCTCTCTCTATCGGAGTTTAATAACAGGCACTATTTCTTTTTTCTTTTCTTTTCTTTCTTCTTTTTTTTTTTTTAATTGGAGTTAACCAAGACCGCATCTCCCAATTTTATTATCACTTGTACAAATAAAAAAATATAAGGAGAAGTGATTAAAACTTACTCAAATTATGGATGGTTTTATAGGTATTTTAATATCCCAGTCTACTGAAGCATAGAGATGATTAAGCTTCAGACCAATCTCCTTTTATGAAAGATTATGAATTAACTTTTTCTAAAAGAAAAAAAAAAAAAATCACCTCTATCCATCCATAGGCAACAACAGGAAACGGGAACGAACAGAAGGAAGATTTAATGATACGAAATATTTTATTAAAATAAATGAAACTTTTTTTTCTTGTAATTTACAGTGGATACATTTTATTAAAAGAAAATCAAAAAGAAAACTTTTAAATAGGGATTTTTGTCATGACAGTCTTTTTTTTTTTTTGGCTTCAAAGATCGTCATCTCATCAATGTACGTGCAACACCATTTTTGTAGCCGAAGGATTTAATAGTCAAGTGGGTTGTTATTATCATAAAATTTGTGTAAACTGCCAAAAATATCTTTCACCCCATAATTTTTAAATTATACAATTTAAATGTTTTTTAAAAATATATCATAAATTAAGTGAAAGAATACTCTATCTTAATTCTTTTGTATTAATCCACGTAAATGACAAAATTTTTAAATTAACTATATCATGTCTTTTAAAATAAAACAGTCCTCCGTACTTATATATTTTTGAAGTAAAATAAACTTAAAACCCAAACTGGATAATAATTCTGGGGCGGAGAAAGTAATTAAATGTAAAAATGACAAATAAGTTATTTTCATTTTTAATGGTAAAAAAATGAAGAAAAACAAAGCAAAAAAAATGAAAAAGGAACTAAGTATACATAAGCTATGATATTTCAGTAATTCCAATATTTAAACACATGTTCAAGGGTATATGGTAATATTATCAAAACCTAAGGGTCACGTCAGGTGTAAAATGTAGTTCTCCCATATATGTATACATACATATTATATTTAAATTTATCCAAGGATTGATTAAGAAATTAGGAAGATATTACTTCTTTTTTTTTTAGTCGGAATTTACATCGTGTATATCGGAAATAGGTGTTGTATTTATGAATATGAAAATATCTAAGAACTTATTATAATAAAAGTTAAGTGTTTGGAGTGTAAATGAATGAGAAAAGAAGTTCAAGGGCTAATTTGTTAAGTATTGGACGTTATTACTTATTAGACTCCATCGTTTTGTTTCTGCCGCCGCCGCGCTGCCGCTCACCACCTTCTATTTGCCGTTGCATACCCAAAATTGGGTGACCGCACCGGTGTCGATATAGGCCAAAAGGGATTCGGGAGTAACATAGGCTGCAATAAACAATATGTGCCGAGGAGCTTGATTTTTCCATTTGATTCCGCACTGGAGCTTTAGGAAGCTGAACTAGATAAAAATTCTTCACTCTTTCTGGTGTTGCTGCTGTGATGGACGAGGCTTCATTCTTTGACACAATGTTGAGAAATCTCCGGTCAACCTGCAAGTATGTTGCAACTTTTATTTGCTGCTTCCCTGTTTTATATTTGGTTATTTAGTCTATTAATTATGCTGATATACACCTTGCCAGTCATTACAATGTTAAAACTTTGTTAAGTATTAGCTGGTCCATTTGTGCTACATTTCTTGATAGCTTTGTGCACTTGCTTTCATTCAACAATTTCCAATTTTTCTTGATATCTTCATTTCATAATCTTTTGGTGATCTGTAGGTATTATACTGGCTATCCGAAGGATCTTGGGCCATCAAGGGTCATTCATTTTACTTCTGAGCGTGATTTTGTCCAGCTTCTTCATCAAGGTCACCCTGTGGTTGTTGCATTTACCATCAAGTAATTTGCACATGTTTCCTCTCTTTGCTTTTCTGCTCTTTGTATAGTTTTTTTCCTTCCTGAATGAAGAGCCCATTTGTTTCTTAATGATGCAGATGTAACCTTACAAAGCATCTTGACAAAGTTCTAGAGGAAGCTGCTGTGGAGTTTTATCCGCATGTGAAAGTAATGCGTGTAAGTTATTTTCAGCTGGTTTCGTGTGTTTTCTTTTGGATGGTTTCTACGTTTTGTCCGTTTTGCATTTTATCATTGTTATCTTTAAAAGTGAGCCACATTTCATAAACGTTGGAGCTCATCAAGGTCATTCTAGCTTTTTAACTGTTTATTAACTCTTGGAAAGAAGTTGATTGATTGCAAGTATATGTTTCTTTATGGTGAACATATCATCGGTTCCTTCAAGGAACTATCTTGATTATCATATATAATTAGTACTGATGTAAAGAGTTTCTGCTTTTCTCTTCAACAATGTTTTGATGGGAATTGTTTTGATGTTAGAATTTGCTTTGGCATATTCTTGTGAATGCATTTCGTGTTTTGATATGTAGCCCTGAAGAACCCTAAAACCCATACCTTCCTGAAGAGTGAAAGGATTTTATGTTGTAACTAATGAAGGACTCTGTAGTTGAGAAGAGTTGTGAATGAAAGCCTCCCTAATACGAATTAAAGCAGGAAAAGCCTGCAAAATAACTGAAACGATTTGACAAATTTCACAATGGATAGATTATGTGTTTTGCGAGTTTTCAGTCTTTTTGCTATTTAAGGAGTGGAGTTTCTAAAGGATAAGAAACGTAACTGTTATAAATCGGTTGATGGTTGCCTTTCTTTTGTAAACCTCGGTAGTACTTTTTCTAGTGCAAAATAGATATGAGAATCAAAGGATCCTCAGATGAACGTAAGTATGAAATCTGTTTCTCTCCTTGAACCTTTGAATTGATTGCATGATTCTTTGAATGTGCTTAAATGCCTGCAAAAATTTTCATACATGTCTTTTTGAACTTTAGAAACATTCATATTATGTTTTCACCGAACAAGTATTATGTATAGCAGTTAGCTAAGTAATGAACAAAAGCTCTATCCCCATTTCCACTTAGCTCTCTCACAGGTTTTGTTCTACTGACCATTTATTTCTTTCAACAGGTTGAGTGTCCGAAGTATCCTGGTTTTTGCTTAACTCGTCAGAAGAAGGAGTACCCATTTATAGAAATATTTCATAGCCCAGAACAAGTACGTTTATATTTATGAAACCTCCATATTAGTGAGATGCTTTAGCAGTTCTTCTATTCATTGTTTGTACATATACTACTTTATGATCATGCAGAATTTATAGTGGATTTGATGAAACGAGTTCCTTTGAAAGTATAATAGTTTTTATCATGTGGAACTTATTGTGTATTTGATGAAATAGAGGACCGTTGAAACTTGAAAGTTAGATTAATTATAGATGCACTTATTTGCTTTGCAATTGATATTGAATTTACCAACCTTATTGTTAAGTTGTAAGATTAACTATCTTTTATAGTCTAAATATCTCTCTAGTGCTTTTCAGTTTTCACACATTGCCTGCATATAGAATAACCTATTATAGGCTCTAAGATCAGAGCTAATAAGATATAGCTGCATTCTACTCTCTTCCACCCCCAGAAGAATAAAAACATGAAATAGGGGATCTGGTGAATCCCTGATCCTTTTCACTTTGAAAATGTGGGGAAAAAAACTTTTTCTTGATCCGATGTATGAAGCAAAAGGAACTGTAAGGAAAGATTCAGAGAGTGAACTCAATGAGCTACATACCAATAGTGCTCATTTTTTAATTTTCTAGAGCTAGGAGGTTCCTTCATTAAAAATTAAATAGATAAAATATTTGAAATGGTGTAAAAATGCATCAACCATACATCTGTAATATGAGAGAAAGGTCACATGTACCATTCAACCTTGAAAACACAAAATGATTCCAAGTTGAAATCATCAACTTCGGTGACTTTTCCTTATTGTCTTCTGTGATTTCATAACCTTGTAGTTTCCTAATTGTATTTCTGACATTCATGACCCTGGATTTAACCTCTATAATCTCTTCATCTATGGATGTATGCACCATACATCTCTTAAGGAATTATCTGATCATTGCTCATTAAATATAACTTAATTCACTAAACCAATTAGCTCTAGAATCCTCGGTTCTTATTTTACGACTAGGGATGTAGCATGATGGGTTTATCTACAATATAAAACTAAGAAATTGGGATAAGTATATGCTAGAGTTGACCTCTCATAATACACATTACTGCTTTGGAAAGGCCTCATCTGACATCTTTTCCTTTTCCGTTTCTTCTTTATTGCTGGATTAGGCAAGGAATGACGGGAAGACGGTTGATCCAAACGTCACAAAATACTCAGTGCAAGTTCTACCAGTAAGTTCTGAATCTAGCCTCCATTGCCTTCTCAGGGTGTTGGTTAAAGATGTGGCCTGAGGAACCTTTGTTTCATTACTTTATCCTCATGATGGTGCCATGGGTTTTATTAGCATTGTTTGTGGTGGGACTTGTTTTGATTCATTATATTCGGTTGACTTTCCACTCGAACGTGTTATCTTTCGAGTTGCTACCCTTCAAATGTCCAATGATGCTCCTTAGTTGACGTGAAATTTCTTGCATGTGGTTCAGAATATGTTCTCTTTAAACTTTGTTTGGCATTACATCTGCGTGCTTGTTTGTTCTTCTGCAATGTATTCTATTACAAATATATTAGAAGGGGGGAAAAAAAAGGAAATCATCTAGATTTTAACTGGAATAGTTTTGTATGCTTCGCAGTGAGAGATGTTGATTTACCTACAGATGTTCTCAAATTGAAACTTTAAGTCATTTGGTTTACTTTCAAACAGAATGATGTCCAGCATTTTGCCTTAAGATATTCTTCTAAGTTATAAAAGTGACAAAGTGGTGAACAACGTAACCTCTTTTGCAAGTTCACGAGCTGTATCGAGCTATTGAGTCCCATAAAATTCACTTCTTTAGTTGGATCTGAAGTCTATTCTAATCAGATTTTAAGAAAGAGTTTGTAAGTTTCTTACTACTTAGAAGTTTCAAAAAAAGGTATGTGGGTTCTTACTAAGAAGTTTCAAAAAATGTATGTTTTGGGTTGGCTATGGCAATTATAAATATCTTCTAATTAGTGAAGAATGCAGCACCCTATGACTTAAAAATGTCTGTTCCAGCTGTTTTGATGGGGCTTGGAGATGATTGATCAGCCACAGTTACTTGGACCAAGTCTAGGAAGGAAAAGGATAGGGAGAACCCAAGACCTTTGTAACTAATTACTTATTCAAAAAGTATGTATACCTACAGTTGTTACTTCAATCATATATCTTTCCCAATCCTCATTCTGGATACTTTTTATATATGGTTTAAGAGATGTCAATTATGTTCTCTCAAGCAAGAATGCAGTGCCACCTAAAATTTGTCTTGTCAAAGATGCCAGAATTAGAAACTTTGAGAGATGAAAACACTTGAAACTGAAGGTGGTTTGTATTCTTTTTCTTCTGAACCCATACGAATGAAGGTGTTTCTCTTTACTTGTCCATTTTAGTAGCCATTCAAACGGAGATTTGATAATATTTTGCTATTGTTTGTCTCGTGTTTGTAATCATCCCTCTTGTTCGCTCTGTTTATGTGTGTGCATGTTATGATTAGACTTTTAGAGTATCTAATTCACCCTTCCCTGGTTTTCTCAGTTTAACTACGATGTTAGCTCATATGGATTTAGGGAATTTTTCAAGCGTCATGGAATACGACAATCTGATACCAGGTGAAACTTTCTGAGATTTTGCTTTTCATTCAATTCGTCATATGCACGTCAAAAGTACTTTAATTAGATTTATGCCTTCAAAATATGTAATCGACTTGGTTTGTTGAGTTGGAAGTTGCAAGCTTGGGCTGTATATAAATGCTTGCAAAACTATAGATTCCCTCTCTTTCCCTTTGTAGACATTGTTACTTTGGAAATGGAGAAAACACGTTTTTTCATTAATTTAATTGCCTTGTGCAGCCATCCAGAACAACGTTGGTGAGCTCTATACAACGTAAAAACCTCACTACGAACAAATCTACTCCAATTCAATTGACACATAACAATCTCACTGATGAACACGAACCGAGGAACTCGAAAATTGAACCTCCATTTTCTCGTCTCTTGTGCAACTCTAATTATCAATTTTTTAGCTTAAAAGGCACTGCCTTGACGTAGAAGTTGAAACAGGGGCATCAACATTAGAGGAATCGATCTATCAAAAACATAATAATTCTCTTTTTCAATTTTTGCCAACACCTACTGATGGAAAACCTTTTGATCTAATTTTGCCCACAATATCCAATAGAAAGAGTACTACAGTTCCTATTACCGCTTTCATATTACACATTGAATTTTGAAATTTGTAGTTATTTTAGTACAAAATTTAAAATTTTATGTGAACTAGTAAGTGCAAATTCTAAACTTAATGTCAACTTTTTTTTTTTGGGACTGAGAAAATTCAACTTAGTATTTTCTAAATATTTATCTGTTTTAAAAAAATAATCCATATTGAGTTTTAATACTTGTATTATGCTTTCTCTGTCTCAGAAATTATTTTTTAGTTTGAATTTTCATTTTCAGTACAAGTTATACTAAAAATAAAAATGTTGTACAATAGATTTTAGAGAGGGAGCATTTAGTATAAATGTCAAAACTTAATATAGACTTTTTTTTGGCAGACAGATCGAGTATATAATAAACAGAGGGAAGAATCAAGTAATGTAACAAAAAGGTAACCATGGTTTGATAGATAAATTTAATAAATGTTATGCTCAAAGGAGATTTTTTGACATTATTCTGAATAAACCAAATCAACCATTCTCAAGCTCGAACCCATTAATTATTATCTTCTTTAAGTTGAACCTAAAGTATCAAACTCCAAGAATTGTCATTGGCATTTCGTTTTCCGCCTGACTCCATCACCACCGCTATACACCAAGAATTGTCATTAGCTCAAATACCATAGCAGAAACTAAACAAAATTGTAACTGGGTTATTTTCTCATTGTCTCAACGTAAAATGTTTAACATATATTAACCCCGTCTCACAAAAATAGTCCACATTGAGTTTTTAAATTTATACTAAAAACAGTACAAAACTCATTGATCATTATATACCCATTGATCATTATCTTCTTTAAGTTGAACTTAAGATATCAAACTCCAAGAATTGTCATTGGCATTTCGTTTTCCGCCTGACTCCATCACCACCGCTATACACCAAGAATTGTCATAGCTCAGATACCATAGCAGAAACTAAACAAAATTGTAACTAGGTTATTTTCTCATTGTCTCAACGTAAAATGTTTAGCATATACTACTTCTGTCCCACAAAAATAGTCCACATTGAGTTTTTAAATTTGTACTAAAAACAGTACAAAACTCAAAACTCAATGTGGACTATTTTTGTGGGACGGATAGAGTAGTATATATTAGGTTACATGGTAACTAACAACAGTTAGGAATTAACAAAGAAACCATTTCTCTTTCTAAAAACCAAGAGAGAGAAAGTCCTCTCTTTCTCCAAGTGAGAAAGAACACTACCCAAACCACATCTAACTTTATCAAATCATCTAAGCCAAATCCACCCACATGCAAAAAATTTTAGTGCATGATCTCATCAGATTTCCTTGGAAATCACAAATTAGTTTGCTTACACTTCTCTATTTCCGGATTCCGAAGCTTAATCATGATTTTGGAGTGACTTCTCGTTTTTGTGCCATTTGGAGCACATGCACTTATTCTAATCTCCCTTTTTGATCTTCTCTTTTTTATAAAATATCATTCCCCTTAATCAAAATTCACAATCTTTTCTCTGTTTTGGTTTTTGCTACCCAGCCATTTTTCCACCTCTTTACTGGCTACTCAAGATCACCCGCCCCCTAGATTTACTCCCAATTTATAGTCTTGTCCTTTATCTGTCTGGGTAATAAAGGCTTTTGCCTTTCTAGTTAGATTCCTTTTCCTAGACACTCGCCCAAGTCTCAAAAATACATACTTGTTCGCTTCCTATTCCTTTTCCCAGACACTTGCCCAAGTCTCAAAAATACATACTTTTTCTTTTTCTCATTGCGTCATTTCCTTGTCTTCTTCTTCTTTAAGGCCTCTCTTGTCCCTTTTCTCGCCAATCAATTTATGATTCTCTGTTATCCCTTTCGAAAATCTTTATTCCACCTCCTTTACTCTTGTCAGCATTATGAACCATCGACATGCAATAGATGAAGAATCAATCACTACCATATTTATTGCAGGGTCAGAATTTTCAGAAGAACACTATGATTTCAGCCCGGCTGCTGACCCAGATCCATACTGGATCTACACATCTCACTATCGAGCAGGTGCTATGCGTCTAACAGATGACAATACTTGCCTTTCCAGAGAGAATCTCAAATTGTCTTTGCTAAGATGTCTGCTTGATAATCGGGAGTTTGATAATACTCGCATGCAGCAATATTTGAATAAGAACTGGCCAATGTACATGAGGATTATGCACTATGATCGCAATTTCTTTGCGATCAAATTCCTCAATAGGGCTGATCTCCTTACTGTTTTGGACAATGGTCCATATGTAGTGGAAGGTGGTTTATTGATCCTCAGGCGATGCTATGATAATGAGGATTTAACGCTGGATTCCATTAGAATCGACAAGTTGAGCCTCTGGGTGAGAATGCATGGCGCGCCAATTACTGGTTTAAACAATATGGGGGACCAGAGATGTAGCTAAGAATGTTGGTGAGATTGCACTTATCAAGGAAGACTGTGTTTCCTTGAGGAAAGCCACCTATGTGAGGGCCAAAGTGTGGGTACAGCCAAGAGATCCTTTGACTCCAGGATTTTATTTTGAGAAAAGAAATGGTCAATTTGCAAAAATAAGATGTAAGTATGAAAATGTCCACAAGTTTTGCAAGAGGTGTGGTAGATTGAGTCATCCACTACAACACTGCCACATGCAGGATGATTAGACTTTTGAGGAAAATCTGGACGCTTTCTTTAAGGGAAAAAACAATCTAGAATGGATCACCTTTGTACATTGATCCTAACAGGCCACTTTTTCCCAGTTCAATGCGCGCTCATGGGCATAAGAAGAGGCGATGTACCAGAATCAAATTCAGTAAGTATTTGCAGTTGCAAGACTACTATGAACATGTCCCGGAGCATTACATTCAAGATGGTTTTTAGATTACGGAGTTGGATGAACCACATCCTGTAGCCTGGTATCCAATCTACCCACCAGACAATGCGGATGATGATAATGATAATGATAACAATCGGGATGATTCAGATGATGAGGATAATGGTGATCAAGGTGGGGATCCTCATGATGGAAATGGTGCTGGCTCAGACGACTATCACCAAGATGATCCACTCCAGCATCCATGACAAAGTGACATATTGTACAGGTCTTTGCAGAATGCTATCAGGGAGAATGGTTTTATTGATACCGAACGTAGGGCGGCTCCGGCAGCAGAGGATCTCCCAAGGCAGGACATTGGATTTCAACATCTTCCTGATCCTCAGGAGTTATGCTTCTCCGATTCAGGTAGTTTCCACTCATCTCCTTCACAATTCATGAACTCTGATCAGTATGGCAACTCTGTTTTGGAGGATTCAGATAGTGAAATGCCAGACTCTTTCTACCACATCCCTAAAGTTCCACCACCTGATGATTTATCAGATGATGCCTCTAATGTCCCATCTCTGTTTATTGCTAATGTACCTGATTACCCCCCGTTTGATGATGATTGTAAGTCTCCTTTGTCTATTCTTGATTATATTTTGTCTAGTTCAGAATCTGTTAGGGAGGAAACTAGTGTTTTGTCTAATGCAAGTGATAATGTCAATTCAAGTTTGTATCATGTAGTCAATCAGGAAGCTAGTCAGAATTGTGAACATACTTCTCCTCTGACTGAGGTGTGTAGTCCTGTAATAGAAGCTTTCAGCCCAGATGTATTATTCCTCGGATGACTTGTCATCCTGGAAATCTCATAGTACTAGAAAGGATAGGGTTGCAAAAATGTTGAAAGGAAAGAAGAAGGTGACCAAAATCAGCCACAGAAGGAAGCCTAGCTGGTCCATGTCTGTTCAATCCTTGGAGGACGAGATTCATTACAGCTCGGATTCCAGCATCAACCAAGATACTATGAAGGTGAGCCAGGTTGTTTCAGACTCGGCAATTGGCCAATGTATGAAGAAGACCTCCCTGATAGCAATGTCGCCGGCTGGCAGAACCTCAGGCACATAGAGGATGAAGATTGACAATGACCTTCTGTATGATTCCTCTGATTCAGAAGGCACCAGGAAACACAGCTTAGAGTCTCTGTCGGATGAATTAGTGCCAAAACCATTGAAGAAGAAGAAAGGTGTTGTTTCCAGTGTGGAAGTGCAACAACAGCCTGCAAAGTTTTTGGTGGACCCTCTGATGAGCTTTACGGCGGTTGTGCCAAAACAACTGCCTTCAACTCCATGAGTATCATCTCTTGGAATTGTAGAGGTCTGAACCAGGCTTCTGCTAAGTTCTTATCAAGTAGGTTAGTAAGACAATATAATCCTAGTATTCTATATGTTATGGAGATCAAACCCTCTAATGATACTATTATGGCTTGGCAGCAGGCTTCTTCTTATATTAATTCGTGTGTAATAGATCCGGTAGGGCGCAGTGGTGGCTTAGCACTGTTTTGGTTGGATGGTAGCTAGAAGTACTAGTTTAGAATCCAAATGCAATCGTTGCAAGGATTACAGAAGTATCTGTGCTAGTATGAATAGCTACTTTTGTTTATGGCACCCCTTCTTACCAAGGGAGGGCCGAATTTTGGTCTTGGATTAATGATACCATCAGTAGGTTGCAATATCCTATTGTAGAGATTTTAATCAGGTAGTTAGTCAATAATATAAATTAGGTGGTAGACCAATTTGAGAACAAGACACGAGGGTTCTGACCACTTTCCTGCACAACAACAATTTGGAGGAACTTTCACACTTGGGATGTT